TTATTGCAAACAAAGGCAATATTTAAGAATAATTCAGCAAATACTGACTGCTGAGATAATGTCAAAGGTACCTGTCTTTCTGGCTACCAATAGCCCTGTTTTCTTAGTGACAGGGAAATGACTGATTCTTATTCAATTTTGAGCCTGATGAAATGCAGGAAGAAATTCTAGTCCTGGCTAACTAGGAGTCTGGTAATTTTCCAAACGTTTAGAAACTTTAATTAAACTAAATGGTGACATTCCCTTTTCTTCAGAAGCCAGATGGTACTACTAAAATGTCTGAAAAAATTATAGTAGTCAAGTAGAAAAAGTAAAGGTAAAATTTACCAGAAAACAAAAGAATGTTCATAATCACTTAAATGTGAAGGTTGTACTCTTTTTATTTAACCAATGATTATATATTACATGCTGTGTCCGGTAGTGACAGTGACATTAGAATTATAAAGAATTATAAATATAAAAATATTTTAAAATGTACTTGAGGTTCAAGCAGGAATCACTGATGTTGAAAATGCCAGAAAAAAAATGTCATTATGTCATCACCACTATATATAATAGTGTATTACTAGACAGTAAATGCTTTTCTCTTTTGTATAATTGAAAGTAGCCTTTTTCTGTGATTGAAGTAAAAAAGAAAATAATTAAAAAGCCTTTTATAGACACCGGAAGTGAGTATAAGTAAGTGAAGTGTAATACCCATGCTGCAAGATTACAGGTCTTGAAGTCAAGGTTTATGTTTAGGAAATACTCATGAGACTTGAGTCCTGGTTCCAACTGTTTCTTTGATCAGCTGTGTGACTCTGAGCCTCAATTTCCTCAATTGTAGGAGTAGAGGGGCTAGCATGGCAGTTAATTTAGGAAGATAATATAGAAACACTATTCTTACGCAAAGTTGTTTGCATTATAGAGGAGTCAACCAGACTAATACCAGGAGCCGTTCAAGAACCACAGTAGGCAGTATTATTAAGTGCTAAATGGGTGGTAGAAACTAGATGTGCTACAGGAGTTTCACAGAGGAATAAGTCAGTACTAGCTGAAGTAGGGAAGAGAGATGTTGTGGAGGGACAGTGGGAAGGAGGAGTGAGGAAGGGCGCTGATGTTTCATGCTCAGTGACAAGAATAAAGTACAAGAAGTTCCAGCCTCGAGTTGGAGGGATCTGGTTTGAATCTTGCTGTAGCCACCCAGGACTCAAATATCATGAGTATTTCCTAAACATACACCATGACTTAAGGATCCACGACCTGTGTCCTATTTACTCTGCTGCCCTGTGAAGCCAATACATCCCTAGCTTGAGAGTAATTGGGAAAATTGAACAATTTGCATCTCTTTTACTTTCTTCACTGCTAGCATTTAGGTGCCAAGTAAGTCCCCATTCGTCTATTGACTGTCCATCCTCCAAAATTGTGTTGCCATCTCTCATCATCATCTGCTGTCATTTACACCCCTTTTATCTGTCATCTTTTGTTTCTTTATTTTTATTTTAGTATGTTTCAGGGGAGAGTGGAAATAAATGCAAGTTTTAATTCACCATGTTTATCCCAAAGTGTACATGTTACTATCATGAAACTTTTATTATTTTAGTTTTAGAAATCTCTCCAAATATTGCTAATTGCTTTTGGCATCTGTTAACAACAAATGTATCTAAATAGTCCTTTCTTTTAAATTATATTTTATCCAGTTATTTTAATTGGAAGCAATGAGTTCTATAAACCTATATTCTAATATGTAAAATGTTATACATTCAAACCATCAAATAATGTCTGTTAATTGGTATTTAAATGATTTGAAGAAGTCTTATTAAATGTCCTTAAAGAGATTATGATTGGAACAATAACAATAATAAAAAGCAAGCGTTAAAAGCACCAAGTAATTCATATAGAGAGCAAATAAGTGTATAGAATTGCCCAGGAAGGAGAATTGGCACATGTTGGAATAATCAGAGGAGGCCTGAAGAGTGCCAGGAAAGAACAGGCCATTTTAGGAAATAAACTCATGAGCAAAGATATAGAAATAAAATATACCAGACATAGTTTGTAATCAGTGACTAAACAAGCATGATAAATGTATGGGAGGCATTGAAGTTAGGTAAGACTGGAAATACAGTTTCTGTTGAAGTAGAGGATCTTCAATACTAGGTCATTGTTAGTAGAATGGAAAGTAAAGGACAGATGCAGAACACATTATGATAAAAGAGTCCATCAGTTTGGGGATTTTAATCAAAATGTTTTTTTGATACCATATATTACCATTCAAAGTTTAAAACTCAAATTGTACATTCTTTTAGACTCAGGAATGCTAGTTTAAAAAGATGTCTTATTTCACGGCAGTTTCCTGATCTATTCTCTTGTTATATTTTTTGTCCTTTTTTTCTGGAAATTTTTCTGGGCCTACTGGTATTGTTCTTGAAGGATATTAAACAGAACTTCATAAAATATTTCACCATAGTTTTAAGCTGAAGTAGAATAATATTTTTCTATTTTGCCACAGTTATAATATTTTCCTTGGCCTTTTGATGACAACATCACTGCGGTGACTCCAAGAGAATCCCTTTTTCTGAATTCTAACATTTTGTGAAATTACTTAGAGGAATTTTCAATTTGCCTGCATAAATCTACCCTAATAGGATAAAAAATCCTTTAAATAAAAACCTTAGTTTTTTTTTTAGGATTTAGTAAGTATAGGTAATGAGAAGTAAAACAAATATTTTACATGGCTTGTTGCATAAATAGGGTGAAGAGAAGAAAGAAAAATTTAGAGGCAAACTTGGAACATTTCTGAGCAATATGTGCTATAGAATACATGATAACCTAATGTGAAATATTTGAACATTTCATGATTTGGGATGTTTATATGCAGATTTAACCAATAAGATAACACACTTAGGAAGTAATCTGGCATTGGCAGGGAAGAAATTAGTTGATTTAATTGGTCTTTTGCAAGTGAAAATTCACTGATGACATAAAACTAGAACAGATATTTTCTTTTTGAGTTTTGGGTGATTTGGATATTGTCATTTATGTGTAAGAAAGAGTCAGGAGAGTTCTGTGGTAATGTTCTGGAAGCTCCACTTGCAGCAGGCCTTTTGCCAGGCCACATTGTAAAATCTCAGCTTTTCTGTAATTATGTGCTTTCCTTTTCTACTATGATAATTCTTCCTCATAATTCTATAAAGTAATTTAAAAATAGAAGTTAAATATATAAAATTATTATGGCATCTCATTCTATACACTAGGTAGGTTCTTGAAAATATGCATAGATAAAGTAAAAACCAGGAGCAGATGGGGGTTGGATACCTGAGAAGCATAGGAAAGATGCCAAAACCTAATTTATACAGAAAATAAGTTCTTGGTGGTGGGATGGGGAGTATTTTGAGCGATGTTGAATCGTAACAGGAAAATACAAATTTGGAAAGGGGCAAGGCCAAAGGTGAGAGTGCTAGGGAAAATTCAAGGTCAAGATTTAAGAGCTAAGGAAGTCTGGGAGCTAAAATTGCTGTAGACATTTTTTTTTCTTTCTTTCTTTTTTTTCCTTTTCTTGTTCAAAAAAATACTTGCTCTAGAAATAATTGTTAGTTCAGCATAAATGACTAAAAGGCTTTACATTTTCTGATTCCTGTTATATTATTCATCTGAGAGTATGCTCTGGAAGGTCTGGAGCAGGGGAATAAAAAGAAGACAGGGTCATAGTTAAAAGAGGAAGTTTCAGAATAACATTTGGTCTTTCTTTTCTTCACACTCTAGTTAGCAAATTCCATGCAAATTATTGCTGACTACTATGGAAAGTAAGTATATTTTATGAACTCTGTTAAGATAATTTGCTTATCAAAGAGAAGCATCTGTGCCCGAGTTAACGCTGATTTTTTTTTTTAAAAAGGTCATAAAACCTGATATGAATCTTCAGTTTATTTATATCTTTTTCTTGGGAAGAACTTTTTTTAAAGGATATACACTGGGATGATACAAACGCATTCTTGGCTTCTTTCAGAAAATGTTATCTACGTGTCTTAAACTTGGAGCTGTGCAATGAGCTATATACAGAAGCCTAAGGAGTTCTGGATGCCTTTTCTGTTACCTGTCTGCAACCCTTGTAAGCACAATAGACAGGATTTGGCCAACACTGATGAAGTGTTTACTGTTGTTCAGCTCCAGGGCTTTTAACACAATAAGTCTGCAATTGTCTCTGTTCAGACTTTACATCCTGTTTTCATAACTGTACCCTTAATAATTGACCAGATTGCTTCTCAGGAAGACTTTTGAATGATTCATCATCTTAGAAGTTCTGCAGTAGGTTTAATTATTTCAGAAAATGTATTATTTCTTAGTAACCTAATTTAAATTGCTATGTGAGTGTTGCAAGAGTGTCTATTGAGGAAGACATATACATGGATTTCTCAAATTCTGTAGTGTGAAGTGATAAAACATCTTAGTGAGCATTTGTAGCTTTTTCTTTTATTTTGAGACGAAATCTTGCTCTGTGGCCCAGGCTGGAGTGCAGTGGCACAATCTCAGCTCACTGTAACCTCTGCCTCACAGGTTCAAGCAAGTCTTCTGCCTCAGCTTCCCTAGCAGCTGGGATTACAGCTGCACGCCTCCGCTCCCAGCTAATTTTTGTATTTTTAGTAGAGACAGGGTTTTGCCATGTTGGCCAGGCTGGTTCACCTGCCTCAGCCTCCCAAAGTGCTGGGATTATGGCCGTGGGCCACTTTGTCTGACCCGTAACTTTTCTTGATCCTCTGATTTATGAGGAATCTCTTCTCTTCCAATTAGCATGTGTTTAAGAACTTAGAGGAAAGCTGTATAGTGGATAGTATTTAATGTCTGACCTGAGTTCAAATTCTAGTTTTTCTATCCAGGAGGAGTAGCTGTGTGATCCAGAGAAATATATTTAATTTCTTTAAACCTCAGAGCTTCTTCTATAAACCTGAGTATAGCACCTACTTCTCAGAGTTGATATAAATATTAAACAAGTTACTGTATATAAAATGCTTCCTATACTGTGTAACACTTAAGAGCTATTAAAAATATGAAGAGAGTCATCTGTGCACAGGGGCCATGCTAATCTTCTCTGTATCGTTCCAATTTTAGTATATGTGCTGCACACACAGTTTACAATAGCAAAGACCTGGAACCAACCCAAATGCCCATCGATGATAGACTGGACGGGGAAAATGTGTCACATATACCCCATGGAATATTACGCAGCTATAAAAAATGATGAGTTCGTGTCCTTTGTAGGGACAAGGATGAACCTGGAAGCCAGCATTCTCAGCAAACTGACACAGGAGCAGAAAATCAATCACCGCATGTTCTCACTCATAGGCGGGTGTTGAACAATGAGAACACATGGACACAGGGAGGGGAGCACTACACACTGGGGTCTGTTGGAGAGAAATAGGGGAGGGACAGCGGGGTGTGGGGAATTGGGGAGATGGTATGGGGAGGTGAGGGGGAGGAAGGCAGCAAATCACACTGCCACGTGTGTACCTATGCAACAATCTTGCATGTTCTTCACATGTACCCCAAAACCTAAAATGCAATTTAAAAAAGAGAAAATAATATGAAGAGAGCTATTAAAGTGAGAGGTTTTAAAAATATGAAGGTATAAATGTCACTGTATTTGACACATGCAAGTCCATTATTGCTTTGATGTCTTCTCTCTCCAAAATAGAATAAAGCACTTTGAAGTGGACATTATCAATAACAGACTTAGTTATTCTGTTAGAAGTTATGTTTATCTTCCTCATAGATGCTAATTCCTTGCTAAAACATTCTGGATTCGTTTGTTATTGCTGAGTACTTCTGTATTCCTGAGATAGAACAGGTGCTGATTGCTGACTTTATTGTGAAGATAGATGGAAGACCTCATTTATCTGACCAAGAAAGAACTAAAAATCTATATGCTCATGCCAAAGGGAAAAGTAATTAATATGAAATTTCAATATCACAAAAGAAAAATATTTGTTAAGATAAAATTAACATCATGGGTCTACCACATGAGATTTTTCCATCAGTTAAAGTGAATTAATGTAGAAGGTAATGGGGAACTTAAGCTTTTAACCTGAATAATTATATAAAATAATTAGATAATTCTAAAATGGGTGGATTTTTTTCTGTAAAAGTCATTAATATAATAGTATAATAAAATTTATTTTAAAACATTAATTTCAGACTGGCATTTTTAGAAAGAACTAAACATAAAGTTGATACTAAATATACTTTATTTTCTGTATGTTTGCAGATATAATTGTGATTGAGTAAATGCAGGTAACATATGAATAGTTATTACATTTGTCTTCTTAGGAATATCCTAATACTATGGATCCTATAAAGACAGACGTTTTAGGGAGTTAAGGTACGAATACGTAATACAATCAGATAATAATACTGTGTATGCTTAAGCTCTTCCTGTGCTTTGGGAACTATTGCCTGGGACTTCTATTAACTGATGATTTAAATTAAAGCTGTCAAATCAATATTTTACATGTCATCTCAAAGAGCTTTAAGATCTTTTAGAGAAAATTATTTCAGATAAAAGGAATTCACATGTGGTATGAAGTAGTACAGAATCATAGTTCAATTTGGGAAGTCCATGTGTCTTAGTTGTAAGCCATAACACATCATGAGTTAAATTCAAAACTCTTTATTCATCACTTCTTCTTTTTTTGGCTTGGTGCTTAAGTCAGCCCATTCTGCCCACAAATAAGCTGTGATAAAATACAGTAGGGTTGTTCTAAAGTGCTCTGGCTTCCATTACAAAGAAACTTCTATTCTTTGTTCACTAGAGAAGCACAAAAGATACTCTAAAATTGGAAACTAATCATTGAGTGAACCAGAAAACAGGGTGCTAGTGTCAAGGAACATTCCTTCAGTTTATATTGTTAAAAGTTGGGGTGCTGTAGAAAGTTCATACATACATAAGAGGGTCTATTTGCTTATAAGTTTAATTTTCAAAAAAGAGCGTTAATGTAGATTTCAAGATTCATTGGAAGAATTGGATATTCACTGTCTGAAAGGAAACATCACACCATGTTTATTTTTGGTGTTACAAACCTAATGTTTTTTAAAAATATCTTTACTTAGTTTCTCAAATATGGTTGGGTTCATAAAGGAAATTTACTTTCAGATAACAAAGTCACTGTATTTTATCTGGAATGAATGATGAAAATCTTGTTGCTTAGCTGTTCATGGTAAGGACTATTTATACTGTAAGTTTTTAAATAAGCCCATGAGCTAATCTACTATATTTAAGGGTTTAGGCAAATTTTGTAATACACCCCCAGGATATTAGAGCTCTCTTCACAGTACTTTAAGACCTAGCCTGTGAGTTCAGTATGTTTGTTTGTACCGTACCTGTTGGTACAATTCTTTTGCTCAAAGACTGACAGAGAAACTATAAAGCATTCATCATGGAATGACTTGAATGTGCTTCTCATGGGACAAGTTAATATCTTAGCTACTGCTTTGTCTTTTTTATTTTACCTCAAAACATTGTTTTAAATTTTGATTTTGAAATGATTCATTTTCTCCCAATTCTTTGCGCTCTTATTACTGTAAATGACATTAAAAGACCTGATTTTAAAATAGAGGCTATGGGAAAATAGAATTGCATATCAATAAAAGCGACACCACCCTCCTCTTCCCTTTGCTTTTCCCTTTTCCTCTCTCCATTTTAAGCTCCCACCCTATGTGGGCTTTTTTTTTTTTTTTTTCATACTGTGACATCCAGCTGGTTCCTGGCAGGGTTTCAGGTTTGAATTTTCTGACAAATAAAGAAACTTTTTATTTTATCTTAAAATAGTTTTTATTTTATTTATTTTTATTTTATTTTAGAACAGTTTTAGATTCATAACATCATGAAAGATAATACACATATGTCTCCGCACCCAGTTTCCTCTATAATTAACATTCTCTATTAGTATAGTATAGTACATTTGTTACAATTAATGAACCAATATTCATATATTATTGTGGGGGCTATGTAATAGCAATATGACTTAGCACTGTTGATATTGACCTTGATCATTTGGCTTGAGGGCTTTGTCAGGTTAAAATCTTACTTATATTTTTTCTGAAGACCATCAAAGGGATTTCCTGAAAATTTTAATAAAATATTCATTTGATTTTTCTTTATTGGTGATGTGGAAAATCTACTATAAGTTTCTAAGTATTTAGGCAAAAATAATTTTGAAGGTGGTAAAGAACATCTTATCTTTTTTTTTTTATGTGTTGTAGGTGGGAATGAGATCTCGAAACCAAGGTGGTGAAAGTTCATCTGATGGGCATATCTCCTGTCCCAAGCCCTCTATCATCAGCAATGCTGGTGAAAAAAGTCTCTCAGAAGATGCAAAAAAGAAGAAGAAATCAAATAGGAAGGAAGATGATATCATGGCCTCAGGAACTGTCAAACGACACCTAAAAACATCTGGAGAAAGTGAACGAAAGACTAAGAAATCCCTGGAGTTATCCAAAGAAGACCTCATTCAACTACTCAGCATAATGGAAGGGGAATTGCAGGTAGAGTCAAATTTTCCCAACTGTTGTGTTTTTGGTTTCTAAGCTATAAAATAAGAGAATGTAAATCTGTTTCCCTCTCTGAATCATGAACTTTATAGGGAAAGAGATATATTTCCCTTATTTCTAAATCCCTAGTGCTTGGCACAAGTTTGCACTAAACAAGTATTTGTTGAATAAATGATAAATGAAAAAGTCTATTCCAATTTTGAACTTCCCTAAAAGCATAAAATTTCTTCATTATATGCTTTTGGTAATGGTTTAATACAGGTCCTTTCAGTCAGTAGGTAATCAATTAGGTTATCTAATTTAGACATTGACTGTGACTGACAAATGCAGAAATACAGTGATGATTAAAATGGAGAGTTAAGATCAATTGTTACTTTTGTTATTTTTCTAGAAGGTAGAGTAAAAGAGAGAAGGGGAAATAGAGGCAAAAAAAAAAAGGCTTTCTTGAAACCAGCCTTATTGCACAGTCTTTTCTCTCTTTTTTTTTTTAAACTTTCATCCTCAATATTCTATAACATCATAGGAGATGAGATGCACACAAATAAGCAGAGCATTGCATTCATTATGAAATACCTAATAGTTTCCTAAGCATTTTCAAATCTACTATCTCATATGATCACAATAAAAATGTGGATATCATCTGTATTTTATAAATGAATAATCTGAGGCCTAGAAGGATTAAAGGTTTGTCTAGATCTCATCTCAGCCTTCCTGATTCTTCATCCTGTGCTCTTTCCTTTGTCCACCCCCACCAATCTTACTTAGTTGCCATGAGCCAGGTCCCTCCCTCCCATTAAGTTTGTATTTCTAGGGACCCAGGAGGCAGGCAGGAAATCAGGATTCTTCTGAATTTTTGAGCCCTGAACAATTAGATTACTGGAAGTAGAGGAACAATACTTTTTTTTTTTTTTTTTTTTTTTTTAGGAGAATATAACTTAGAAAGTGGAGCTACTATTTTCATTTTCGTTTTTATTAGTTTCTTAGCTTGCATGTGCCTCTGAAGGAATAATATTAATAACAATTGCATGAAATAAAATCCTTGTTGGCTTATGGGTACTGCTAGCTTTTGAGAGGTAATTGCAACCTACTCTACACTAGAGTGAGTCACTCTGTTCCTGTTATCATCTGTGTGTATACAGATAAGGAAACCCCTGGGGTAAAGAAAAACAAACAACATACAAAACTGATGTTTAAACAAACAAACAAATACGATTGAGCTTACCATTTACAGACCGAGAAAAATCACATTGGCATTTCACAGCAAAAGGTAACATTTTCTAGAGCAGGCAGTGTTACTAAAAATAGCTTAATTACTCTCAGAAATGTGGTTAGTATTTTTGTCTATTAACATTTGTTGTATACAGAGGTAGAATTATTTCACCTTTTAAGCTGCCCCCAGCCGGAGCTATTGACCTGAGTGAAAGGTAGAACTTTTGCCTTAGAAACCTTCATGAAACAATATCATTAGCTCACTTCTTTCCATCCATGGAGGCTCCTATGAAGCCAGTGGCTCTTGCAGACTCTAATTTCTGTATAAGGCTGTTATATCATGTTAAACTCTGGAAAGATTCGTGTGATTTTTA